AACTAACAGCACAGGGGAGGAGAATGGACTAGTGCTGGGCCTGATAATACCATTCTTCAGGAGTTCCAAGATAATCTTCTCCAGGATTTCTTTTTGATGCTGAGGAATTCTATATGGCCTTTGGTTAACCACTTTTGCTCCCTCTACCAAAGGAATTCTATGATCACAGGGCCTACTTGGTGGAAGTTCAGTAGGTTCCTGAAACAGCTTCTCATACTGATCCAACAGTGGTTTGAATGCAGCAGGAATTTCTTGAGCAGCTGCTACCATTTGAGGACCAAAAGTAGTAAACAAGAAGAATCCACACACAACTTGTTCCACTAATTTCTCAGTGTGGTCAGTTACTTCAGTAACAGTAGTAAGAGGTACAGTTTCATCCACAAAAGTGATAAAATGCCCTTCAGGAGCAGATATCTTCATTTCCATCTTAATGAAATCCATTTGTATGGGGCTATATTTCCTCAACCAATCTACTCCTAAGATGATGTCATAGCCTTTTAACTTGTATGGGGCCCTCTGAAGCTGTCAATAAATGAAATCCATTTGTACGGGGCCCTCTGAAGCTGTCAATAAATGCATGGCCTTGTATTGCATAGTGACAGTTCTTTGCTTGGAATTCACTCTAGAGGATCCCTCCACTAGCAACTACTACTTTAGTTTTTGGTGTAGGACTGGGAACAACATCCAACTTACTAGCCATCTGAGGAGATATAAAAGTAGTAGTACTGCCACTGTCCACCAGTGCAATTGCCAGAGTATTTCCCAATTTAACTGTCAGTATGAAAGTATTTTTAGTTGCTCCAATGCCCATGGCAGCATGCATTGATACTTTCAGTACTGTTTCCTCAGTTAGCTGCTCTGTATTGTCTAGCTCCTGATCATCATATTCTGCCACAAATATAGTTTCAGGAGTTCCATCTTCTTGAGCTTGTAGAGCTTGGATTTGAGCTTTCTGGTTCATTTTACACACTTGCCTATGACCAGGCACCCAAGGCTCTCTACACTTATAACACACCTGGTTCTGTTTGGCCTGCTGAATAACCACATTCCTGTTTTATGGTGCAGTTGGAAGCAGTTGTTTGGGCTGTTCAAAAATGACTTGTCTTTTTGGTTGAGGAACATACTGCTTATTTGCACTGACTGAGAGGAAGGCTGAGATTTCTCCATTCTTCTGGCATACCACACGGCAGTTTGCAGATCTTTTGGTTTAAAACATTCCACTAAACTTCTGATGTAAGGGTTGAGGCCTGAGACAAAGCTGGAGACATAATAGTCATCAGGTATAGCAGGGTTTTCTCTCCTCATTCCATTGACCAATTGCTCAAATTGTTCCACATAAGCAGCCACTGTTGTTGCTTGATGTGCAGCATGAAAGTTACTGACCACATCACAAGCTGATTCCACAGAGAACCTATCAGATAGGTAAGAACAGAATTTATGCCATGGCACATTGGAGGGTGCATATCCAGTACCCCTCCACCACTGAATAGCAGGTCCTTTAAGATAAGAAATTGCCAGTTCTGTTCTATGTTCAATTGGAGTTCTTGCAGCAGCAAAATACTGTTCCAAATTCTGAATCCATGAATCAGGATATTGTCCTTCAAATTCTGATATGTTCAACTTAGCAGGCTTAACAGTCAGAACATTCCTTTTTCTGTAATAATTCTCAACTCCATCTTCTTCCTGTATTTCCTCCAACTGAACTACATTTCTCTGCACTGCCTGAAACTGTTCCTTGTCCTTACTCTGACCATAGTGTGGGTGCCTGTAGGGAACCTTAGGAGTCCCATCCATATTCAGTTCCTTACCAGCCTGATCACGCAGAACAGTTGTCCCAATTGGACAAGGGGCACCTTTGTCAGGCATTGCCACCGATGGTGGTGTAGGAGCTTGGAGCTGCTTGGGCCTACCCGGAGCTACCTGAGGTGAGTTAACTTGGTTGTCCTTAACTTGCACACTGCCTTGGCCTTCTTCAACCTGATCCTCCTGTGCTGGCTCGGGTTCTAACAACAGACGCCTGAAATTTTCCTGAATTTTCTCAAAGTTCTTTTGCATCGTTGCAAAATTTCTGTTTACCGATGCCTGAAACTGCTGGAACTCCTTGCGATCCTCTTCTCGCTCCCGCTGGAGCGTTTTGATGTCCAACTCAAGGGAATCCAGCTGCAATTCGGCCGTTGACCCTGAATCCACCGAGCCCGTCATCTTGAAATCGTCGGCAATCAACACCATAGAGGGTTGGGAGGGTGGGAGGACTGGTCACCGCCGCCTACGCCGCCGCCAGCGCCTGCCTCCGATGGTACACGAGCAGATCACAGGAGCTGGGATTTCACTACCCGAAAAGTGTTCCCTGGCAACCAGACTGTTCTTCCGCGTGTACCCGAACTCTGCCACTCCGGCCGCCACCAGATGTCGCCGTCGCCAGATCGGGGAGAGATGAGGGATTTTACAGCCGGAACCAACCTCTTCTACCCCCAATCAACCACGCCGCCGAGGAAGGACTGGCTCACGATACCAATTGTCAGGACCAGAGTCCCTCTGTACTGAATTTAAGCACGAACTAGCAGGTTTCAGACAAGAATTTGGGCGAATTTAACTAGGGTTTTCATTACAAGAGGAAGGGAAAGTAGTCACCGACGGCTAGGGTTTACACCCAATAATTCTATTACATGCCTCGAATGGAAGGGAAAGCTGGCTTATATAGCCATTACAGTAGCTGTAAAGCAGAAAAGCAGAAAAGTGCAAGCACATGGCTTGTCGGACGGTGAACAGCTTCTCCCGCGTCTTCTAAGCCGTTGGATGGTTGATCGACGGAGGAGAGAAACCCACTTAAGTGAACCGTTAGCTTGGCCCTGAGACCGTAGGATCTGAGATGGGCGGCTGTCAATGCAACAGACACTCAGGAACATGGGATCTTAAGAACTGAGCCTGACAGATGCAAAGGTTGCAGCCCATCTATGTGTAAAAAGGCTTAGGTGCTTATGGCTCAATTATATCCTTCCTTTCCTTGCTGATACTCTTCGGCAAGATTGTAATTCAGATGATTGATCAATAAAGCTCATTCAATCGCAAGACACACACAAAAAAGCTAAAGCTAGTACATTATGGGCAGTAGCTCACCTACTAGTTGTTGCCTGCCCCTCGTTGTCGTCGCGGCACTGGCCGTGGTCTACTCTGCCTCCTGGCCCTAGGGGCTAACCGGTGCTGGCCGGCCGCACCGACGAGCCGCCGCCCGCCGGAGATGTCCGCCCTGGCTCCCAAGCTTGCGCTTCCGATTGTCGTCGTCGCCTACCGGAATTGCAGGAGCCCGACGACCGGGGCTAGCGCCTTCCGCCACCTCTCCGTGGTGGCTTGGTCCGTGCCACTGCCGGCAGTCCGCAGTCGGTTGCCCGCCGCCGTCGTGTCGCTGTCTCGCTGTCGCGTAAGACCCGAGTGGCCGAGCGCCTAACCCTGTGGGCCTGTGGCCGAGCGAGCAGAAGCGCCACCACCGGCCTACTTCAACCCAATATGAACGTTTGGTTGCCCCACTGGCCCATTTAGGAACGGGGTCGTCTTTATTCTGTGCAGTTCTCACCCCTCAAATAAATATTCTGTGCAGTTCTCACAGAAAGTGCATGGATGAACCAGGTACATATGAACCCACTTAAAAAAGCACACATTTTCTTTTTTTAGGGAAAAAGCACACATTTCTAAATGTTAAAAATAGGGCAATGCTATACCTACGTAATATTTGTTACGTGCTTTACGTAAATAGCAACGTGAAGAG